CAAAAAGCTTTTAGAGGCTAAAGGTTGTGTGCATATAGGGCCCACAGACGTCGGAGTGAGGGCTTCAGGAGCCTGCGTGAAAACAAGGCAATATATAGGCGTGAAACCGCAAAGAACGCGCCACTGGGGCTCTCGGGACGCAAGGGCACGCTCAAACAAGAGCGTGGGGACGCTCAAAGGCAGGCGGGCGAGGACAAGAGCCGGTTTGGGGTTCTCAGAAACCGACGTGAGTCCTCACGGACTTCAGAGGCTGATGTGATACCCCTAGGAGCCGATGCAGGCCCTCAGAAGCATGCGTGGGACCCTTACATATAGCCCTGTGTGGAGGCTCAGGATCTGGAGGAGGACCCAAAGACACAGTTGAGGTGCCAGGGTCTAATCTTATGAGGCAAAGTACTATTCTATTGACGGCACAAGGTAACATGATAAGACTGTTGGTAAATACGTGTCCGAGCTAACAGAATGGCTCCTGGGACCGTCAACATGGCGTTACAAATATTGTGCATGTAATAATCGTTTTCAGCAGCTAAACATCAGCTACTTAGTGCTGCAAAATCCTTTATACGGCATTAATAAGTTTGGCCCCAGTTGACGAGACGGCATAATACCCCCTGAAGCTGTCATGGGGACCTCAGAGTCAGAGTCAGTAGAAGGCCTGTGTTTGTTCCAAAGGGTGTGGGATCCCAGCTGAGCCTGGTTGGGGGCTAGGACGTCAGGATTATGCCATTGTCTTTGGGCCCAACATCTGTCTCATGGGCCCGGCCAAGATTACTTTACTACTCGGCCCGGCAGGCAGCAGTTTCTCACGAAAATGCATGATGTTGAAATATGAACGTCTTAAATGTCACCCTTTCCCAATTTTGGGGTGCAAGAAGTGGTGTTTGCACCGCTTCTCTTATTGAAAGGGGGTAAAACCTGCACAACCTGCACCCTCTCTTCCGCCGCCACTGCCTCTGAGGGCACCATGCATACAGACTTTTCAAAGGCCGATGTGGGATCATCTCACGCGGGCTTGGCCCGGCACGGAGGCCGCCCTGGAGTGTCTCAGAGGCCTCCGTAGGTCCTCAGAGTGGCTTTGGTTCTCAGAAGCCGACTGGACCCTGAGAAGCCTATGTACGACTTGCGTCTCGTAGGACTGATGTGAACTATGACAGATCGGCATGCTTTTATCTGTAGCCAATGTAGCCCCAACGAAACCGACTCCGGACCAATTGGGCCCTGGATAAACCCTCAGACGCCGGTGAGGACGGTTAGGCGCCCGTGTGGGTCTTCAACGACTGACTGGGACCTCAGAGACCCATGCCACGTGGGCCGTGGGGCCCTCAGAGGTCCCAGCATAGGACTTCTATGACCGATTTGGGGCCCTCACAGGCCTAAATAGGGCTTTCAAAAATCGACGTGGGCCAGGGTAAGATCCATAGAGATATAGGGTGTGGGATGTCGAGCCGACAAATGGGGTCTTTTAGTTTAACAGTTCTTGTAGATCAGTAGCGAGAAACGAGCGAGCCGAATAGTGAGCCCTGCACGTGCGTTGGTGTGACGTGATGATTTTTGCAGACTATCCTGGCGGTGTTTCACGGCCGATAGCAGCACGCTGCTATCACACGTGTCAGATTGGGTTTCCATGAAAAATTCAACAAAATCGTATCTCCAACACTGCCACAATGACGTCACATATGTAACGTCAGCTCGCGAAATGTGATAGCGGCGTGCTAGCAGTGTGTCGAGTGAAACAACGCCCTTTCCTAACCGAACTGTGGTGCTTTAACAATTAGACTGTAATCAACCCACCAGTTTTTAACATGGAAGTAGCCTCTGCACGTGTGCAACGTGCACGTGCAAGCTAATACCGATTTGATTTGAATGGCAATTTTTCTAACTTGTCATTAACAGCATGCGTGCTATAACTTGAGGTTTTAAGCAAAATGTTACACACATTTCCGTTAATCATTTTGGCCAACAGTATCAAAAAGTAACCGAATTCCGATGAGTATAGCCGATTTGGGAGTACCAGACCTTGTTATAGAGCCGACCAAGTCCAACATGCACCATCGGCAAGACACGGGACACCCAACACCGCCACTGACCCAACACCCACGTGGATTTTTACAATTCTCCACCTATGGCCTTTTGGGGCGACCAACGGAGCGAGCGAGAGGGTTTGCCTTGCACGTGCGAAATTGCGAGGGCGTACCTCCAACTAACTTGTGCACTCACCCTACTAACCGGTCCCCAGCGATGTGTAAAATTTGAGCGCAATCGGCCTAGCGGCCGTTGTCGAGATCTGGAAGCGGCACCCTGCACGTGCGCACGTGCAAAATGGGTCCCAACTGTCTTTCAGGAATAGTCCAATATGAATGTAGAAGGAATGAAGCTACCCTATGAAAATTGCCTCATGTAAATCGGTCAAGTGGTTGCTGAGATATAAGTCTCGCAAGGCCGCTCATGCTCAGAAATTTCCGTTAATCTACGAAAGACTATGCTCGCTTCCCTCGCTCCCTAACGAAAGACTACGCTCGCTTCGCTCGCTCCGTAATAAGCTGAAGGATGCCATTGCGTTCGCCAGGAGATGCGCTACAAAACCAGGCATCCAGGTGCTTATATTGATGTTAAGTTATGAATCTCCTGCCTTCGTCCAGCAGCTGTGATTAAGCATGTAAATTGCGCGGACTTGTATAAACATGGGCCTGTACACTGGGTGATCAAGCTCAGAGATTTAGGAGGGACAAACTATGACAATAAAGTGGTTCTTTCCATGCACTGTTTATAGGCGTAATGTTAAAGTTTTGCCGATTGAGAGGGGCGATGTCCCTATTTGCCTTCCGCTGGAGCCGCCACTGCCCACTGGGTCTGTAGCTGCTTCTCCTAAACCTGCAAATACTTCTGTTCTATGTAGTTAACCAGTTTAAAGTACCAGTCACAGTTTCATGTTCCCTGTAAAAGCGGTACGCAATGTATGAGTTGACCGTGAGCAGCCGCCCACGTCACAAGAGCTACTGGCGTAACTGTCCACGGGGTATGTATGTCGTGTTATGACACTTTAAGGTAAAGAAATTGAGTATAGTTCAGATAGTTATTGCTTGTTTGCATCTGGTACAGGGTCTTACCTTAATCGTTATCCGCAGCGCCTTGCTGACAGAAGGTCTTCCGATCTACATCCGACTACCTACTGATGAGGAGGCTGCTGCTGGCGCTGAACGCGTACGTCAGAAGACAGGCGTACCGGCGGTGTGGGCAGCCATTGATGGTACCCACATACCCATCTCGGCGCCGAAAGGTCGTCTCCGCGATTACGTCAACAGAAAGGGATGGACGAGCGTCATTGCTCAGGGCGTCGTCGATGACAGAGGAAGGTGTGGATCGCACTAACACTGCAACGCCAACAGTAGTAGGTAACGTGTTAGTTGGAAAGAGCAGGGCCCAATCTTACCAATGCCGTGAATAGGCAAAATGCAGTGAATGGAGCCCATTCACGGCAACGGCATATTACCAATGCCGTGGATAGCTATTCACGCCATCTCATTCACGGCATGCGGTCGATGTTTATCCACGGCATTTTGGCAGTGCTTTAACATGGGCAGTGGCACAAGCTGCCGCGAAGGCGGCAGAACAAACGCAAATAATCAGCTGTTTGCGCTGTCGGTGGCCGTTCCATTCACGCCACCTTTTAGTGCCGTGAATGGCGGGTGTTGTGAAAGGGATAGGTCGCTGGGAGGCTGTTACTATGCAATATTTGACACTATTATTTTTTTTAAAGTAAAGAATTCTTCATATAATGCCCTTGACATCTTAGAGCGACGATTACACGCATAGTTATTATTTCAAAAACATGTATTTTTCAGGGTTAAAATCATACTCAAATCCATAAAAATAAACATGTTTATTCATTATATGGTCGTATTCTTCAAATCCATACGAGATCGTGAAGGCGATTTTAGCATCTGGGCCCAATCATACCAATGCCAAACCTATCTATATATGCTATAATATGGGTGTTTCAGTGTTCACCCCGTCCGGACGTCTCACAAACATCCTTCATGATTTCTAAGTAAATATTTAAAACAATTAAATACCGTAAACTTGTCAAACAAGTATCAGCACTCACAATGATATTTTACCACTTTCTGTCTGGCACAGACAGCTACGGAGCATGCTGTCTTCATGCGTCTTAATCTAACTTCTGAACTGAATGCCTTTTTCTTGATATGTTATGGTTTTGAGATGTAGACGGGTTTCTTCAATATTTTGAGTAATTCCTTTTGTTATCGTGCTCGTAAAAAGCAGCAAATAAGGCTATAGCTTGAGCTGGCCGGGTGCATGTACCCAAAGCCAGAGTCAAAGTTTAAACTTTACGAGCTGCATTTCAATTGCATTATTCCAATGTCTTAGAAACAACAGCGGAGCTATCACTAGGTCGTTACTTCAATAATTTTATCTCAAAATTGTTGCAATATCTTAACAGCAAGTAAATAGAAATGATGAGCAGCGAAACGAAGTTGAAATCTAATCCACTCGATTTTCTCAGCGCGAGAATGTCCTCGCGGAAGTTTACTAGGCCAGTAATCCGCTTTTCAGGAGAATTCTTTAGGCAGGCTTTAGTTTTTCATAGTTTGTGTATTAGAATCTTGTGGCCGCAGTCGTGCCACTGCGGCGCCGCCGCCGCCCCGTCCAGGCTCGGGATGAGTTATATGGCATTGTGCGGGGCGGGGCCGGGAGGAAACGGCCGGCGGCACGCGCAGCGCAATTGTAAATTTAAGATATGTCATTTAAGGCACGTAGGCCGCCAAGCTGGCGCCTTCCGTCACCTCGTCGCTGCTGTGCAAGTTCGCACTCGTTTTGGGCGTGTTCTAGACGTTTCGTAACCTGTTGAATAAAAGGTGGGTCACGTACGACCCCCGGCCAGTCTGGGCCGGCGCGCGACGGAGGCAGCTGGCAATACAACGGCAATGTGGACATAAGGAGTTTACTACAAGCTATTTCGGCCTTGGAAGACTGCCGTGATGGGGAACGAGAAGGAGACCTGTGATGGTTCGGACGCTGCGGCTGATCTCCGCCTAATCCCGGAGTTTGACGGTGTGTCGCAGCCCGTGTGCGAGTGGCTGGACAAGGTCGAACTTGTGTGTCAGCTGCGCGGCATCAAGGGACTGCACGTCGTCGTCCCGCTGAGACTCACTGGTGGTGCGTTTGCGGTATATCAACAGCTCGGAGAAGATGAGAAGAAGAAGTACGAGGACATCAAAAGGGCCCTGACATCGGCGTTTGCTTCGGATCGGTTTGAAGCCTACGACCAATTTGAACGTAGAAGGCTGCGTCCAGGTGAGACGGTGGACGTGTTCGTCTCTGAGCTGCGCCGGCTGGCTGGCTTGTTCGGAGGTATGCCGGACGACAGCCTGGCCTGTGCCTTCGTGGCCAAACTGCCAGATTCAGCACGCCGTGCGCTCCGGGCTGGATCACGGATGGAGGACATGCCGTTTAGCCAGCTAATCGGTCGCGCTCGGGCCGTGCTAGCCGACGAGGAAACAAACACCGCGGCCGCCGCCGCTGGCACAAGGACTGGAGCACTCCCGGCCACAATGAAATGCTACTCGTGCGGGCAACCGAACCATATCGCCCGCGACTGCACGGCAGGCCGCGGACAGCGGGGCCGTGGAGGCCCCCGTGGTGGACAGAGCCTCGTGAGGTGCTACAACTGCAACCGGCAGGGGCACATCGCCTCTGCGTGTCCGGAAAACGACGCGGGAGGGGAGAGATCAGCGCCAGCCTCCTCTCCTGTCGACCAGTGAACGGGGCGCTGCCAGTCGCGCAGCTGTCGGTGGACGGAGCGAGCTGCAAGGCGCTGGTTGATACAGGATGCAGCCAGTGTGTAGCTCACGTGTCAGTTTGTCGGAGGTGGAACCGACGCCCGGTGAGCGTGATGACAGTGAGTGGAGGGCGTTATTGGTGTGAGGGGTCAGGCGTGGCACGCGTGCAGCTGCGGTCCGGTGAATCAGTGTCCGTAGATGTGCTCGTCGTAGCACGTAAGCCACTGGGGTTTGAGTTCATCCTCGGGATGAATGGTATCAGAGCACTGGGTGGCGCTACAGTGAGTTCGGATGACCGAGTCAGATTCGGAGTTGAGGCAGCGGTGTCTCATATAGCGGCGTCAGTGGCCTCACCCGGTGACCGGGTCAGCTGTGATGGTGAGAGGACTGGGGTGTCGCGTGCAGTGGCAGCGACTGCACGGGTGAGTCATGATCAGGCGAGCAGTGAGGCGGCCCCAGCGTCAGGTGCAGCGGCGGCAGCTGCAGCAGTGAATCGAGCTGACAGCAGTAAGGGGGATCCGGTGTTGGGTGCGGCGGCGGCGGCCGCACGGGCTAATCGAGCCGACGAGAAGGACTTTGTGGTGAGCTTTGATGAGACAGAAAAGAAGTGGTCGGTGGAGTGGAAATGGTGTGGAGGAAAGGAGCCCGAGCAGCTGCACAATACAGCAGAGGAGTACGCGATTCCAACAGAAGCCCGACACGAATACGAGCGAGAACTCCCCAAGTGGGTGGCGAATCAATTACCGGGGTTACATGAGCAAGTAAATGCGTATCAGGAACGGATTTTCCTATTCGCTTACCATTGTAGTCCGTTTGTAATGCGCATTAACTCTGCTCATGTAACCCCGAGCAATGGCTCGTCCCTTATGATGAGAGCGTGCACGGGAGGGTCAAAGGCACGATCCCGCTCATGGCGGTCATCCAACCGAAGAAGGACAAAGTGCGTCCCGTCATGGATTTCAGGGAGTTAAATACGCACCTGGACCCGCATACAGCTGACGCGGATGTTTGCAGTGAGAAAATCCGTGAGTGGCGTCGGTGTGGACGAAACGTGTCTCTCCTAGATCTGCGAGACGCTTACCTGCAGATCCACGTGCACGCATCGCTGTGGCCGTATCAGACTGTAGTGTTCCAGGGCAGACGGTGGTGTCTGAGCAGACTTGGCTTTGGGCTCAGTCTCGCACCGATGGTGATGAGAAAGGTGCTGGAAATGGCCCTGAAACGTGACCCGAGGGTGCACACCGCTACATCACCTTACGTGGACGACATACTCGTAAATGAAAACATCGCTACTGCATTGGAGGTGAAGGGTCATCTGGAGGCGCTCGGTCTGACCTGCAAATCCCCGGAGAAGGTGTCAGAAGGTGCTCGTGTCCTGGGCATTCGAGTCTGGGGGGAGCGGCAAGGACTGTTCTGGAAGCGGGACAACCAGGATCTACAGCCGCCGCCAAAGCTGACGAGGAGAGAGGTCTTCTCGCTGTGCGGACGTCTGACAAGTCAGGTCCCGGTGTGTGGCTGGCTGCGTGTCTCCGCATCCTACCTGAAAAGACGCGCCACTGCAGCGACAGACGGCTGGGATGACGAGATCACCGACCCAGAACTCCAGAAAATGGTCATGGAAACGCTGCAGCGCGTGAAAACGGCCGATCCCGCACGAGGTTGCTGGGATGTCACCGGCGATGAGGGAGTCGTGTGGGTGGATGCCAGCTCCCTCGCCATAGGAGCCGTGCTGGAGATGGAAGGCAGCATCGTTGAGGACGCCTGCTGGCTTCGGAAAAATCCCGAGACACACGTGAACCTTGCAGAACTGGACTCTGTTGTGCGTGGCATCAATCTGTCCCTGGCATGGAACCTGAAGAAAGTGACTGTCGTGACGGACTCGAAAACGGTCTATCACTGGCTAACAGATGCGCTCTCCGGCAGAGCTCGGATAAAGACGAAGGCGGCGAGTGAAATGCTGATTAGAAGGCGCCTGGAGACCGTGAAGAGTCTGAGAGATGAGTACGGCCTCCAGCTGACCGTGAAGTGCGTTCCGTCAGTGGACAACAGGGCTGACGCACTGACGAGAGTGCCGAAGAAGTGGCTGAACCAACAAAGCGATCCTGAGGTCTGCGGCGCTGCCTTCTCGGCGCCGGATGTGGTCAGGATCCATGAAACAAGCGGACACCCAGGCATCGGGAGAACGCTGCGCCTGTGTAGGGAGCACGACCCGGCTGTGAGCAGGCACCAGGTGCGCAGTGTAGTTAGCCAGTGCGAAAGGTGCCAGTCCATCGATCCAGCGCCCCAGCGGTGGACACATGGTTCGCTGAGCGTGACTAAATGCTGGGACAAGGTCAGCATGGACGTCTGTCACGTAAACGATCAGCTGTACCTGACTCTGATTGACTGCGGTCCGTCTCGGTACGCGATCTGGCGGCGGATAAAGCGACAGGACACCGACAGCATCATCAAGGCTCTGGAGTCGGTATTCCTGGAGCGCGGCGCTCCGAGGGAGCTGCTGACGGACAACTTCACCTCATTCCGCAGTGCCGCATTCCACGAGTTCGTCAGCCGGTGGGGTGTCAGCGTCCGGTACCGAGCTGCCCATGCGCCGTTCGGCAATGGTGTCTCTGAGAGAAACCATAGGTCGGTCAAAACAATCGTAGCGCGCAAAGGCTGCTCAGTGGCGGAAGCAGTCTACCGCTACAATGTGATGCCGCGCAGTGATGACCTGAACTCTAGTCCTGCCAACGTACTGTTCAACTACAAACTGAGAGTGCCGGACGTGGAGAGTGAGGAAAAGTGCGAAGAGAGTGAGTGTGCTATGTTCAGTGTAGGCGATACGGTATGGATCAGAGACCCTAGTCGCCGGTGTGATGTGCCAAGTTCCATAGGAACAGTCACCCGACAAGTGTCGGCGCAGTGTGTGGAAGTAGACAATTTCCCCCGTCACGTGAGAGATCACGTGAGACTGGCTTTCGTTCCCAGTCCGGAGAGTGGCCAGACTGAGCCGCCGAACAATGACAATGACGACTCTGGCCCAATTATCTTGCGAGAGTGTGCGCACGAAAGCCACGGGGAAAATGTGCCCCCTGTGACGTACGCTGAAGTTCTACGCCGCGGCATGCGGGAGAGACGCCCTGCCGTTCTGACCCAGTACGATGATTTGTAGATCAGGGGGGAGTGTATTAGAATCTTGTGGCCGCAGTCGTGCCACTGCGGCGCCGCCGCCGCCCCGTCCAGGCTCGGGATGAGTTATATGGCATTGTGCGGGGCGGGGCCGGGAGGAAACGGCCGGCGGCACGCGCAGCGCAATTGTAAATTTAAGATATGTCATTTAAGGCACGTAGGCCGCCAAGCTGGCGCCTTCCGTCACCTCGTCGCTGCTGTGCAAGTTCGCACTCGTTTTGGGCGTGTTCTAGACGTTTCGTAACCTGTTGAATAAAAGGTGGGTCACGTACGACCCCCGGCCAGTCTGGGCCGGCGCGCGACGGAGGCAGCTGGCAATACAACGGCAATGTGGACATAAGGAGTTTACTACAGTTTGCTATCACGTTTTCCACAAATAACTTATCCTTCACACATATGTATGGCTCTAAAACAAATAAACGCCCGACAAAACTTTAAATAGAGAGCTATACTTGTTCACAAGCAATACGCACAATTTCCGATAGCGAAGGTGACAAGAATTGACCAATCACGTTGCGTGTTTTCTGCTGGCGCTGAATTGTACCGTGGGCAAAATGACGTGAATAGAAATGCCGTGGCACGGCATTGGTGAGATTGGGTAAATGGAGTGCCGTGGATCAGCCGCCGTGGTAGGCATCCACGGCATCTGCATCCACGGCATTGGTAAGATTGGGCCCTGGTCTGCAATTGAAAAAGTCATCCCGTTTTCAGAATCCATCTGCCCAGTGCCTACTTACCGTACCATTTCGCCTTGTTCATTTGTCAAGAAGCAAACTCTGAGCAATAACACAGCGGCTGCTTTATGGATTTTCTCTTCTTTACTTCCAACGCTTTAACTCCGAGTAAATTATCCTGAATACTATCAAGGATGAAGCACAGGCGCGGGAGGTGGGTTCGATTCCCACACCTGATATCTACTTGGAATCAGGAATGGTTTGCCCGCGCCGTGCAGTTTACTCCTTGTTTCATTCTTCATCTTCCTGCTTCTTTTATCAATTCTTCAACCTCATGCCATCATGGATATGTGCCCCCGCTGCTTATCCTTGGAGCTACAACTTCCCTTATCCACCTCAGAACACAATCAAGCTGCACAGCACAGACAGAGGCAGATAGATAGATGAGAGAGGGAGAGAGAGAGAGAGAGAGAGAGAGAGAGAGAGAGAGAGAGAGAGAGAGAGAGAGAGAGAGAGAGAGAGAGAGAGAGAAGAGGGAGAGAAAACACAACGGAAAACAGAGAAAGTAAGAAGTGGGCGGTGGCAGAGTGAGGGCTAGGTGGGCTGTGGGAGGCAGGAGGTAGTAGGATTAGAGGAAGGAAAACTCATCAGACACACGGAGGACGAGAAGGAGGCTGTCTGATACAGAGGAAAGATGAGAAGGAGCAACGAGCTTGAGAGGGATAAAAAGACGGATTGATCCATGCCATGTTTTCTCTTATCACATTGAGATGCACCACAGCACCTCACAATAAAAAAACACTTCTTCACAGATTTGTTTCATTGTGCTGCCAAAATGCTGGCAGTAACCATGATGCCCACGTGCTGCGAGGGTCCTACTTCTACCGCGCTGCGGAGGCCGGCCAGTTACCTCAGGTCTGTTGTGATTGTTGTGTTGCGATGATGTGCGCCTGTAGATTTTTTTCGCTCTGTTAGGCCAGTTTATTTCGCTGTGAACTATTTTCATCATAATTGTTTTCGAAACGTGTGAGCACGGGACCCACTTTCAGGTTCTTATTGGCTATGCGCTTCACGAAGGCGTTTGCCGTTTTAGTGGCTTCATTAAGTCTACTACAGTGATGATGAAATTGCATTTGTCCGTTTCATTTGCAGGGTACCGTGCGTGTCTGCGGGCAGGACGTGCCCCTCCTGGTGGTGGGCGACGCAGCCTACCCACTGCGTCCGTACCTGGTGAAAGGTTTCCAGGGCCAGGTAACACCGGCTCAGAAGGACTTCAACACCCGCCTTAACAAGGGAAGAGTGGTGGTTGAACAAGCCTTCGGACGTCTGAAGTGTCGGTGGCGCCGTGTACTTAAAAGATCGGAGCACTATGCGAGAAATGTTCCGAAAATTGTGCTCGCCGCAGCTGTGCTACATAACCTGGTCGAGTTCACGGACGATGCCATAAACGAGGCTTGGCTTGTGGCTGATGATGGTGTGAACGGACCGACACCATGCACCGAGACATCACCCGACTGCTGGTGCTGCTCGCGATAGTGCGTGCGCTCGCACTCGCTTGCGTTCCAGCACCTGCACCGTCACCTGCAGAACTACCACCTCGTCGAGAGCTCGATCGGACGCTGCGACAACACATCACCCTGAGACGGGTCCCGGCTCCGAGAGCGCCCGGTCCGCTCGCGGCGGCCCGGCACTCCCGACTCAGCGAGGCGGTGACCGAGCCTGGTCACCCCACTCCGCCTCGGGCCGGCAGCGGTCAGCTGGGCGTCCGGCCGGCCGGTGACCTCCCGGCGGCCGGAGCCGCCGTGACCTACGGCGGCGTGACTCAGCCCGCCGAGCGACCTGCTGCGAGACTGCCCCTCCCCGCTGCGGGGATCCTGCCACCCCAGCCTGGCCCGGAGCTGCGAACGGCTGACGGGGACCGGAGCCAGGGGCGGCCGCGGCGTAGCGGTGGCCGGAGACCGCAGCGGCGCGGGGCGCGCGGACGGAGAGCTGGGCGCCGCCCGCGGACTACGCCGGCGAGCCCTGGTCTACTGATCGGCTCGCTAAACATCCAGTCGATTCGACCCAAGCTTTTAGAACTGTCGGACCTGCTACACCGTCACAAGTATGACGTCATGCTGCTGACGGAATCCTGGCTCCGACCGTCCGTGCCCAGCCGACTACTGGTCGTCCCGGGCTACGCCATTTATCGCGTGGACCGTCCTGACGGCCGTGGTTACGGTGGCGTGGCGGTCGTTGCCAGGGACGACCTGACTGTGGCACCCTTCAAACCGACCGCCCAGCACCCGCCGGACAGCCGACTGGAAACTATCTGGTCGCTGCTGAAGTTGGACCACGGGCGCCAGCTGGTGCTGTGCAGCATTTACCGACCGCCGCGCTACACGGCGGCGGCGCTGGACGCCGACTTTGGAGACCTCGAGGCCCAGGTACAGAGTGCGGTGCTCCGATACCCGGCACTGACACTTATTATCTGTGGTGACCTGAACTGCGACCTTTTAAAGAGCGCCCCAGCACCGGCCCGTGTCCGTCTGGAAGAATTTTTATCTGATTACTCGATGTGTCAACTTGTGAAATCGCCAACTTTTACCTCTGGTTCACTTCTCGACGTATGTATGGTGACTAGTCCCAGCATAGTTTCTGACTGTCGGGTGACTTTCTGTGATTTTAGTCCGCACCACATAGTTCGTTTACATGCTGCCGTGCCCCGTGCTCGCCGCAGGCCTGTCATCACTCATTCGCGCTGTCTTAAACGTCTTAACCATGATGACTTCCTTCTCGACCTGTACCGTGCTGATTGGAGTAGAGTGTTTAGTTTACCGACCGTGTCTGAGAAGTGGAATGTCTTTTTGTCGATTTTTATGCCCGTACTCGACAAGCACGCGCCGATGCGGTCGGTTCGGGTCCGTAACCCGACTGCCCCTCCCATCTCGGCTGCTACACGAGACCTGATGTGTCGCCGCCGCGCCGCCCTGCGCGCGGGTGGACGGAGCGCGCCCGAGTACCGCCAGCTTAACCGTGCCGTGCGAGCTGCCATCCGCCGTGATACCCGACAGAGTATCGAGGAGGGTATCAGGGAGCGCGGGCCGCGGGCCGCCTGGCGGAGCGTGCGGGGGGTTGTGGCTGGCAAGCGCTCTGGCACACCGGTGCTACCTCAGCTACCCAGCGAGGAGCTGAACCACTTCTTCGTCTCTGTCGGACCGCGAGTGGCCGCCGAGGTGGCGGACCGGGACCAGGGTGCTGCTCGATCCGTCGCATGCCGTTTACCGCGTGTGGGGGCGTGTGGTTTTACTGTATCACCTATCGATATTGACACTTTGACCAGCACGCTGCTCAGCATGCGCAACTCGACCGCCCGCGGTGCTGATGATATCTGTATCAGGGTGCTGAAGGCCAGTTTCCCCGCTGTCGGCGCCGTACTCCTTCACATCATCAACTCCTGCCTGACCCAGTCTGACTATCCTGCTTCCTGGAAACACTCCCTTATCCACCCTATCCACAAGTCCGGTGACCCTTCCGACCCATCCAATTTCCGACCAATCTCAATCATTCCAGTCATCTCAAAGGTAGTGGAAAAGGTGGTTCAGCACCAACTTTACCACTACCTATCCTCAAACCACCTCCTCTCTCCCAACCAGCACGGTTTCCGTCCACACCATTCGACGGAAACCGCGCTGGTGACAGTCACCGACGACATCCTTAGTGCCGCCGACAGCGGGGAGATCTCTCTTCTGTGCCTAATAGATTTAAGCAAGTGTTTCGATGTCATTGACCATGATATACTACTCAGCAAACTGCACTTGTACGGCATCGACACTGCATGGTTTGCGGCCTACCTGAGCGGTCACACTCAGAGCGTGACTCTGCGTGACTGCGCCGGCGCCCAGCGTGTCTCGCCCCCGCTCCCCAACTCTATGGGCGTGTTCCAGGGCTCTGCCCTGGGGCCATTGCTGTTTACGGTGTTCTCAAACGACCTGTCACTCCATGCAAACGATGCCAAGGTTCTGCAGTACGCTGACGACACCCAGGTGATGGTCTCAGGCAAAAAGAGCGAACTTTCGGCGCTCATCTCTCGAATGGAAAATTCTCTCGCATCTTTGGATAACTGGTTCTGCGCGAACGCCCTCAAGGTCAACGCGAACAAAACTCAACTCATTACTCTTGGAAACCGTCAAAATTTGCGCAAACTACCAAATTTCACAGTCGCCTTCCGTGACACAAATCTCGTGCCTTGTAACGAGGTGAAAAATCTGGGTGTGACTTTCGACTCAAACATGTCCTGGGACTGTCACGTGGGTGCCGTCAGCCGCCGCTGCACTGGGACCCTCATCGGTCTCTCACAGGTACGACACGTCGTGCCCCGGGGCATATTCGTCTCTCTTGTGACAGCCCTGGTTCTCTCGCAGGTTCGCTATTGCATATCAGTTTATGGCAACGGCTCAAAAAAGAACACAGCTAGAATCCAAAAAATCCTTAACTTTGCAGCAAAAGTTATTTTCGGCCGGAGAAAATTTGACCATGCGAGTGACCTGCTGGAGAACCTGGGCTGGCTGGGGGCTCAGCAACTCGCTGAGTACAGTACGCTCTGCCTCACGCAGAAACTGCTCTCGAGTGGCGAGCCAGTCTCCCTCGCGGCCGTCCTCCGCTCGAACTCGGACGTACGTGAGCGCACGACCAGGCAGGACAGTCATCTCCATGTACCACGGTCAAGAACCGAGGCGGGGAAACGGCGTTTCTGTGCGAGAGCCCCGAGGCTTCACAACCAGCTGCCACCTGAGACCGTTTCCCTCAGAGGGAAACGCTTCCAACGAGCCCTGAAGCGACAGATGCGGAGCCGGACGCTGTCTTTAAACTGAAGTAAGGTCGTCTGACTCAGTGTGTGTGCGTGTGTGTGTGTGACTTGGTATGTTTCGGTTGGAAGACTAATTGTTTTGTACACATCTGGTATCTACCCTATTCTCTGACTCGGAGCTTGAAAAGCCACTGTTGCTGTGGAGTGCTCTTCAAAATAAATACAATACAATACAATACAACGGCTTGGCGCCCCAGCCAGCATGCCGACCGAATGATGGCCGCTGGGACACGCAGCGCGGTCGGGAGCTGCAACAGTTATTGTTTCTCCACGTGTCCCAGATGCGACAAACGTAGGAGACCGGCATGTGCGGAGACTGGCCTGTGTATCTGCCAAATTGTTATCGTGTGACGAGTGAGCAAAGCGAAGTCTTTTGTGTAACGGACGAATCTCAATATGAGCGGCCCGGCCCGACCCTGCCTGTAACGCTTTTGAGAGGAGTTTATATCTCAGCCAACGCTGGACCGATTGGCATGCGGTCTTTTTCTGCTGGGCATTCCAATCTCTTTTACCCCGTAATTAAGTACTCTTGATACATATCAGTGACCGTCGTGGCACGTGCCACATGATAGGGCGAGGGTGCTCATGCTTTTCTCGAAAAAGCTATGTTGCACAAGCTGATAATAGGCATATGCATCATTCAATGTTATGTCAGGTGATATTTTTCGGTCTGCTTTTCAGCCGTCCTGGACATTTATCTGAGACAGATTTGCATATGTAGTTTCCGTACCGCTTTCTGTCCAACTTCCAATTGCATTTGTAGTTGTCAATTTCACACCCGTAGGTCCTATGTGGTGCTGTGTACTTGCGTAGTTACGTTACCAAGTCGTCTGGTAAGTCGATCGTCGATTGTCTTGGTTCAAATCGATTGGTTATTCGTACTGTGGGTATTTGTATTCAGGCAGGTGAAAAACCGCTTTACTGAGTTATGTATATACGAAGTAATGACATGACACTCGATGTTGCCGAACTCCGAAGCGTCATTATTCTTCATTTAATCATGACACCCATGATTAGGTAAATGAACTTTGCAACTACAGCACCAATCTTTATTTTCGTACAAGGTACGGGTGGTGGACATGGGACATTAAGACATGCGTAGGAAACGGACGGCATTTAAATTTTGACATTGTAAAATAATTTTTAGAAGAAAGCCGAGCGACTGAAGTGCGAATTACTGAAGTCGTCAGTCGGTGGCGATTCACCACCAAATGCTAAGCAGCCGTAGCGCACAATTGGAGATGACCCACGAATCGTTGAAATGAAATAAATATTCAAAGACGTCTCAAATGAAATATATTGCGCACGACACCGTTATAATCATTAACGAATGACATCAGGGGCGGATCCAGAAAATCTCCAAGGGAGGGGCCATTAGAAACCAGGAGGCCCCCATAATCCCACCTGTTGGAGGCCCCATCTTCCCACTTGTTGCCCCCCCCCCCCCCAAAAAAAAAAACTGCGTCTATTGAGCTTATCTAGCTGTTCAGGCAACATCTCAACATGAATAGCCACTTTATTTTCAGGAGGCCCCCTTTTCAGCTTTTTAACTTTTTATTTTATTTTTGAAAAAAATCGGCCAAGGGGGGGGGGGGGCCATGGCCCCCATGGCCCCCCCCTTGTATCCGCGCCTGAATGACATGACCCGTGTCCTGAAAGCACACTGCGAAGCACTCCAGCACAACTCAAAACAAAACAACCCATAGTCATACAAATGCACACGTTCAGCTCCTTGTGTGCTGTGGGAAGCAGTGGAACACACAGCTCCCTGTGCCTATTTGTGACGTGCACTGGAAGTCGCCGCGCGCGTCACTGGAAACTTCCAGGTGCCTCATGATAGAAAGCGCTCCGCGTTATGATAGCCGACACGGACCCAGAATGGCGGTCTGTCAAGTACCCGTGAACCGAATTCGAATGGTCGTGAGTCGTGAAAAGAAATGTACGACAAAAAAGTGACAGGCGCAACCGCTGCGACCTAGCAACGCTTCATAATAAGATTATGCGCTTCATCTTACTCGATCCAGAACTGAAAAGCATTGTTTGCGAACACTTGAGGCCTGAACAGCAAAGGCTACACACTTCAAGAAAACAAACTATTAAACTTCCTCACGCCAGCTCCCATCCACTCGAGCAGCTGACTTCAGCGCAGCGGCGCCAGCCCCAGGTCGGCCGGACACCAAAACCAACGCAGAGTGTCGCCCAGCTGCAGTCAGCTCCATCCGAGTAGACTGCGCCGGTCGGCACAGCACCTTACCAGAAAACTGCCTGCGGGGGCAAAGCGCGGACACGGTCAGCCCCAGTGACGGACACGGTCGGTCAGTGGAGAGTACAGGACGAACGCGAGAAGCATGACATCGGCGCTGGTGGAAGATTTTTGGTCGAGTCAAGCACATTACCTATTTTCTGAGTACTTATTAAGCTAGTCTGTGTACAGCCAAAAAGAAAGGTAAAGAGCTTACCAAGGTGATAAGCCAGACAGCCAGTCTCCTGTTCCCAGTTAGTGTGTTCAGTTGCGCCGCTGCAGGGCCGCCAGGACGGCGGCGTTAAATTCACCTTGGCGATCAAAATAGGCCCGATCCAGCGCCAGCGCTTCCCCAAAGGTCTCCACGAGGCGCTCGCAGAAAGCCACGATGTTTGCGTCGCTGTTCACCAGCCGCTGAATGTTTTCAGCCATACTCGGCTCTAAGGCAGCCTGGTCCAGAGCGCCACGCTCCCTCGCCGGGGGTGCTCCACGCCTGGCCGGGGGTGCTCCACGCCTGGCCGGGGGTGCTCCGCGTCTGGTCGGGGGTGCTCCGCGTCTGGCCGGGGGTGCTCCGCGCCTGGCCGGGGGTGCTCCACGCCTGGCCGGGGGTGCTCCGCGTCTGGCCGGGGGTGCTCCACGCCTGGCCGGGGGTGCTCCACGCCTGGCCGGGGGTGCTCCACGCCTAGCCGGGGGTGCTCCGCGTCTCGCCGGAGGAGCTTCGCGCCTGGTCGGGGGTGCGCGAGCACCCGTGCCCGGGCTGTCCGACTCGTCCGAGTCGGACTCCGATCCCGGTGAGACGGGTTGGCCGGACCTCACCGGAAGGGCAGTGCTGTGGAGACCCTCAGAGTCCGAATCGCAGACTGTAGCAGCAAATGTATCCGGCGTGTCCTCCTAAAATGAAAGTAAATTAGCTGGTCACAAAATACAAGCCAAAAATGACATATGATTTCACACCCTAGGGCACTCTAACGGAACTGAAGCGACACGCATTACAAGGAGAAAAAATTGTCCTATTTGTTTGCGTTTCGCCCCATGCCAACGCATGGGCACAATACATTTGGACGCAAAGAAAGAAGAAAAAGAATTAAGAAATAAAATACATCAAAATGATGTAGATCCCTTGCAATATATACCCCAATTTACGGGTAACAACTTGAACTCATTACCCCTTACCAATGATGAAGAAATAACAGGTATAGTCAATAACATGAATATGGTAGGTGGAGGGCATGATAAACTAAATACAAAAATATTTAGAGCCACCTATTCCTCCATCATGTTAGAAATTGTTCATTTTATGAATCTTTGTCTGCAGGAAAGCACTTTTCCTAAGCTTTTGAAACTTGCCATTGTGAAGCCAATTCTTAAGACAGGTAATAAACAGCAGTTTAATAACTATCGGCCAATATCACTTCTACCTGTTATTTCCAAATTATTGGAAAAGCTTATACACAAACGATTGGATGATCACTTAACAACAAACAGCATACTTAATATAAATCAATTTGGATTTAGGAAAGGTATGGGCACACACATGCCCATATCACTCATCCAGGAAAGGATTACAAATGCATTTGAAGCAAATAATATTGTGTGCGGACTCTATTTGGATATTCGGAAAGCATTTGACACAGTTAATATTAATGTTTTATCAAACAAAATCAAATGTTATGGAATCAAAAGTAAAGCATATGATATGATAGTATCATACTTGAGTGATCGATCCCAATGTGTACAGATTAACGGTGTCAGATCAAACACTTTGCCAATTGATATGGGAGTCCCTCAGGGATCTATTCTGGGGCCTCTTCTGTTTATCCTTTATATAAATGATTTTCCAAACATAAGCAAGGAGTTCAATGCATATTTGTATGCAGATGATACAGCAGCCTTTATGGAATGTAAAGATATGGCAAAATTACAAGATACTGTGGACACAATTATGCCCAAAATATCAGAATGGTTTTCTGCTAACCAACTCTCGATAAATACTGATAAAACTTCTTATCAGATATATTCAAACAAAAGAGATAGACAAGAAATAAGGTTGAAACTAAATGGAGTAGAGATAAAAAGCTCTAAAAGTGTAAAATACCTTGGAATGTTTATTGATGGCGATTTTAAGTGGAATACTCATATAAATAAGCTATACACTACATTGTGTAGAAATGTTGGTATCATTACCAAAGTGAGGTTCTTTTTAAACACTGAACACTTATTATTACTCTACAATTCTCTATTTTTGTCATATGTCAATTATTGTTGCTATATATATAGCAATACTTATACTTCAACTCATAGATAACATGAATCTGGATTGGACACGAAATCAGCCTGATGCAGAATGGGGCCGAAATTTTGGAATGGGGAATCGACTGTTTTTCTGTGCAAACCATCTCGTTTTGGCTACCACTTGAATGACAATAAATTTTTTCGACATTTTGATGTTTTTTGCTTATATTTCTTTAAAAATAAATCTAAAAACGTGTTTTATTAGAGCCGTATATTGCAACATTGACAAGTGGTTCATCAGCTAGGCAATGGTCACAAGACGCTACAACGAGTGGAGAGAGGGCGAAATAAGCAGACAGCATAAAACATAATGACTAATGAGCATGTTCGCCTCACGCCTGAAAGGGTACGCTCGCCGTTTTCCGCCTTCTCCAGGCTGGGACACATCGAGTACGTGCATAGCAGCGCCGGGCAACGCAGGTGGACTTGATTTTTTTCCCGACAGACGGGACCGGGCGCTGCTCTGCAGTGGCGGTCGTTGCACTGCTCGCACTCCACCACTGACCGGTTCGGAGTTAGTTGGTGGACGTCCACCGCAGGAACCGTCCTGTCGCCGTCAGTGATAGCTAGTGGTAGCAGTGATCCCATTAGCTGCGCCTTCCGACCAGCCATGCCTGGATGGTGCGGGCCCTCTTGTGCGGCTGCGTCTCCGTGGGCCGTCTAGAGGTCCACCGGGACTCGATTCTGGCCAACATCGCTCGTTTCCCTGGCAATGATATCGACTCTCACTGTCTCACATTGCACTCCACACCGCAACGCGAGGGCACCCGCTGAGGTGGCTGGCTGACAGTCCTCGGAGAATCCTCCAGTTCAGCATGGAGCTCTGGACGGCTGAGCTGTTGCGGAGAGAGGCGGCGAGGGCGGACTGGAGGTCGTTCAGGCAGAAGACTGTTTAGAGAACAGTTGCCTTTGGTTCATGCTACATGTCGAAGGAGCAATGAGCAGGATAGTTTGTTTTCCGTCCTTGGGCTTCCTACCTTACCACCATACGGGCGTCCTCCACGGAGCTGTTCACTTCGGGTTCAGATTACATCTACGGTTGAATAGTCGCAATCGTATAAACGATCCTCTTTCTCGATGCCACTGGGCGGGCTACTGAGCAGCCGACCAGCCAATGGGTGACGGTCTTCCCTCGTCCGATTCCTCGCACTCCAGGCACGCGTCGTGTTTCTACAGTCCGATGCAGTGATTGTAGGCTCCTAGCGTCTAGTAGCCGTTGGAAGCCGGAAGGTCTAGCAGCTTCGACGTTCTTCTGGCGTAGAGGGTAAGTTCACCCGACGTGAGCCATTTTAGAGTAGTTAACGGGTCTTCTCTAGGGCTAGAGCCGTTTATACCAGTGCCTATAAGCGTGCGTCTGAGTCTGTATCTCGCCGACCGCAAAGCGCAAAAGCCTAACTCTGTACATGGCTTACTCTGGCGCTCGCTCGCTTGTTGCCCCATGCCCCAAAAGGCGTCTTGATGTTACTATGGTTCCAGGATCCCTGTAGCTGTATCGGTAAACTTGCAGTGCTGACGACCCATGGTGCCTCGGATCGCTGATCCGTAATGTATCCAATTCCACGGCGCCAAAATTCCATCACTTTTCAAAATTGTTAACATTCGTTTGAAAGTATAGTTACCTACTATACCAAAGCAAGTCTTCCTCAAATTGACGGCCTGAGCTGGGCACCATGAGAGTGGACGCTTGGCTACGATTATGTGAGCATTATGCATTTTGGTGTGGCCCTTCCGAAGAGACGAGATTTTCAGCACTGAAGCCGAGGGCACTGCAGCTCCTCTCTTGTACGAGAAGAGCGCAAACATTTGAAGTCGGGCTATGCAACTTGGATGCCCCGAAATGCTCCTGTTTGAGGTCAACCCTGTGTGGTAGGGTTATCATCAGGGCCCTGTTCATGAAGTCTGCGGTCGCTGCGGCCGGCCGCAGGTTCTAAGCCCCGCCCACTTTTGAAACGTCATCATTCACTCGGCCGCAGCAGCGTTCCATGAACACCGTCAGCTGCCGAAACAGTTTCCGATAATTGCGCGCTTGAGACGATTACTAATCAATAGTTTCCACGCGCTTCTTTTATCTGTGTATTCCATTCTTGTGATGAAAAGGGCGTTTCTCAAGGCCGTCTGGTGTTTCTGTATTTTTGTAAGTGGGTCACATAAATGATTTGGTATTGTTTTCATTAAATCGTAGCACAAATAAGTTAAGTCTAAAATTAAATCTCATATTAAAGCATTAATCTAATTTTTAGGTATCATGGCATGCAACACCGGACGGAATGAATTTGTTTATAACATCGTCTCCATGGCAACACAGCCTACACTTTGACTTCAGTGCGCCAAGTTCAGTGCAATTACTTTCTTGCGGCTCGGCGGTCGCTGGATTGCGGCCGCAGAGATCGCAGCGGCCGCAGCAAGGTGACGTCATACATTCGTCATACTACATGAGCCCCGCCCCTTTTTGTGACGTAACAACCCGGCTGGCCGCAGCGACCGCAGCGGCCGCAGCGACCGCCGGGGTTCATGAACAGGGCCCAGATTGGAGTCTGTTTTTTTTCGGGAAAAACACGCTTGTCGCTTGTTGTTCGTCTTCTCCGTTGTAGCGCTTCTTATTCCTTGCTTTGCTGCTTGAAGGGCTCTCCAGTCACCATTTCTTTTCCGTGTTTCCTTTTGTAATGAAAGCCATAAGCTAACAAGCGTAAATTGTAAACGAAACACAAATCAAATGCCTCAGGCTTAATCACTTCATGAATTGAAAAATATGTTGAATCGATTCTGATTACAAATAAGAGTAAACCATAAATACTTATAGGTACTCTGATTCAATACTTTGCCAAATATAACAGTTTCAAATGTTTAAATTGGCATCGTCTAATGCAGGCTATGGTGAATTTTAGCAGCTCGATCGCGCGGACAACAAACTAAGGATCCTACTGATAAATTTTCGGCCCCATTCTGCATTTATCAGAGTTCGTGTCCAATCCAGATTCATGTTATCTATGTTCAACTCTATCCAAAATTGAAAAAATTCAAAAGAGAGTTGTCAGAATTATAGATGGGCAGCCAATGATGGCTCATACGGATCCAATTTTCAAAACTCCTAAAACTCCTTAAAATTAAGGATGTGGCACATCAGCAAATGATACTTATCCTGCATAGAAAAATATGCAACAATCTACCACATGGATTCGACCAATTGTTTAGATTTCATCCTTCACTCAGAAACATTCGTAATGTAAAACACTTCGAAGAAATATTCACTTTCAAAAAATATAAAACTCATACTTTGTCATGGACAGGTCCTAGAGTGTGGAACAATGTCATGACCTCGATCTTTCCTCACGTTCAGTCTGTGCCATTTGCCAAAAGCACAATAAAAAAGCTAGTTAAAAATCATTATATCAATCAATACTGATTTATTTAGCTTGATACATCTTATAATTCAAAGTAGGTACTTCAACCATAGGTACCTACCAAACGCTGATATGCCTGTATGTGGCAGTTGTATGTGTAATGTGTATGTATGCTTGTGTAGGCATACATAGGTGTATGTATCCGTCCGGTATATGTGTAATATGCAGTATGTGTATTTTACTCATTTTTAGTGTTTTGCTAGATGTCACCTACCTGCCCGGGCACTTGGAGCGCCCGACAACAAGCCTTGCTTCGTGGGGTGCTCCGAGTGTCTGGGCTAACGGACCCACATGCATGCCTAGACCAGAGTATTATGATGATGATCTTGCCTTTGATGAGAGAACCCCCTAACCAACCTTCCCCAGCGATTATGCCTTTTTCTCGTATTGGATGCTGTGTATGAATGTTACGAATGTGAGCGAGTGAATGAGGATGGGCTTTCAGTAGAGGGCAGTCACCACTGTTTACAGTGTCGACTACTTTGCTTCTTATTCATTCATATTAACCATTGGCTCTCTCTTTACTGCTTTTTTATGTTTCTTTCATTTCCTAGCTGGGAGTGCCGCGACTTGAAATTTTAAGTTATTCTGGTGTTAACGTAAGGTTCTGTGTGTCGCTGGGATAGAGGGAGGGGGCACTCCTGGTCACCTGATCATGGGTGGCGGCTTAGAAAAAAAAAACGGCGAAAAAAAAAGTGTAGACCACTGGACTACGAATAGAACTGATCTCAGAAAAATTGAGTAAAACGCGTCCCATGACCAAGCAAAACATGTTGTAATAGCACTACGCTATCGGCGCCGATCGAGTCCCGTTCCGGGGACGCGCTAAATGGACTTACCAGTTCGGTGGTCTCATTTCCGCTCTCCATCTCCTGGGAGAGGGCAGGTGCCGCTGCAACGTACGACAGCGACGTCACTCGTTAGGTTGCAGCCAGGGGTGTTGGTGGGGGCTGAAGCGACTGCCTGGGAAGCTTACTGGCATTGCAGATAATAAACAATTCTTAATTCTTTGACGGCCACCGCCATTTCCCTGCTCGATACCATACATTCTCAACCTGGGTCCATCAGTCCAAAGCACAAATCTGGCAGTATCAAATGGATTTGAGTGTTAATAATGTACATGAATTAAACGCAATGACAAAGTGACGAAAATCATAACTATCATTATGCTTCAAGTACCTAATTTCACATCAGAGAAGACAGGCAGGTAGCACGACATTCTGCAAGAACGAAGACATATAAGGCAGGTGATGAATGTGACACTGATAGCCGAGGAGGTCCGCCAGGAACTGGTTCAGTGTCTGGCATGGAAAAAAGGTGGTTTCCCTCCCGTCTTCAATTGTGTGTGCTTACCGAACACCTCTAGGTCCGAGCCGTCCCGCGACTCGCCGCTCGAAACCGGCCTCGGGTTGGGGCGCCGATCGGATGCCGGATTCTCCCCAGCGCGACCGCGGCGGGCGTCTCGCACACGTGACCGATCGCGTCCTAGGAGAGGATTTCTGTCAGAAAACACGTGCTTTGCGCATGAGAATTGTTAGTACAAGTATGTTGCAATGCGCGGGGGGCGGTACATTCAAATAGTACGAATATTAAAGGTCATAACTAATTAATCCGTTTTGAACAAGTGGCGGAGCAAACATCAGTGCAGTTCAGTGCGTAGTCTGGATGTCCGCCAGGAACAAGAACCAAAGAATGAATACAACTTGTTTGGCATGTTATGCATATAACTTTAGATAACCCATTCATCTTGTAAATGACAAACAAGAAACAAAAATAGAGCGGCTATAGTGTACACTGCACAGTTTGCACAGCATGTTGTGGTTCAGTGTCTGGTGAGGAAAAAGGTGGTCTCCCTTCTGTCTTCAATTGTGTGTGCTTACCGAACACCTCTAGGTCCGAGCCGTCCCGCGACTCGCCGCTCGAAACCGGCCTCGGGTTGGGGCGCCGATCGGATGCCGGATTCTCCCCAGCGCGACCGCGGCGGGCGTTTCGCACAGGTGACCGATCGCGTCCTAGGAGAGGATTTCTGTCAGAAAACACGTGCTTTGCGCATGACAATTGTTAGTACAAGTATGTTGCAATGCGCGGGGGGCGGTACATTCAAATAGTACGAATATTAAAGGTCATAACTTATTAATCCGTTTTGAACAAGTGGCGGAGCACACATCAGTGCAGTTCAGTGCGTAGTCATGGATGTCCGCCAGGAACAGGAACCAAAGAATGAATACAACTTGTTTGGCATGTTATGCATATAACTTTAGATAACCCATTCATCTTCTAAATGACAAACAAAAAATAGAGCGGCTATAGTGTACACTGCACAGTTTGCACAGAATGTTGTGGTTCAGTGTCTGGTGTGGAAAAAGGTGGTCTCCCTTCTGTCTTCAATTGTGTGTGCTTACCGAACACCTCTAGGTCCGAGCCGTCCCGCGACTCGCCGCTCGAAACCGGCCTCGGGTTGGGGCGCCGATCGGATGCCGGATTCTCCCCAGCGCGACCGCGGCGGGCGTTTCGCACAGGTGACCGATCGCGTCCTAGGAGAGGATTTGTCAGAAAACACGTGCTTTGCGCATGACAATTGTTTGTACAAGTATGTTGTAATGCGCGGGGGGGGGGCGGTACATTCAAATAGTACGAATATTAAAGGTCATAACTAATTAATCCGTTTCGAACAAGTGGCGGAGCACACATCAGTGCAGTTCAGTGCGTAGTCATGGATGTCCGCCAGGAACAGGAACCAAAGAATGAATACAACTTGTTTGGCATGTTATGCATATAACTTTAGATAACCCATTCATCTTGTAAATGACAAACAAGAAACAAAAATAGAGCGGCTATAGTGTACACTGCACAGTTTGCACAGCATGTTGTGGTTCAGTGTCTGGCATGGAAAAAAGGTGGTTTCCCTCCCGTCTTCAATTGTGTGTGCTTACCGAACACCTCTAGGTCCGAGCCGTCCCGCGACTCGCCGCTCGAAACCGGCCTCGGGTTGGGGCGCCGATCGGATGCCGGATTCTCCCCAGCGCGACCGCGGCGGGCGTCTCGCACACGTGACCGATCGCGTCCTAGGAGAGGATTTCTGTCAGAAAACACGTGCTTTGCGCATGAGAATTGTTAGTACAAGTATGTTGCAATGTGCGGGGGGCGGTACATTCAAATAGTACGAATATTAAAGGTCATAACTAATTAATCCGTTTTGAACAAGTGGCGGAGCACACATCAGTGCAGTTCAGTGCGTAGTCTGGATGTCCGCCAGGAACAAGAACCAAAGAATGAATACAACTTGTTTGGCATGTTATGCATATAACTTTAGATAACCCATTCATCTTGTAAATGACAAACAAGAAACAAAAATAGAGCGGCTATAGTGTACACTGCACAGTTTGCACAGCATGTTGTGGTTCAGTGTCTGGTGTGGAAAAAGGTGGTCTCCCTTCCGTCTTCAATTGCGTGTGCTTACCGAACACCTCTAGGTCCGAGCCGTCCCGCGACTCGCCGCTCGAAACCGGCCTCGGGTTGGGGCGCCGATCGGATGCCGGATTCTCCCCAGCGCGACCGCGGCGGGCGTTTCGCACAGGTGACCGATCGCGTCCTAGGAGAGGATTTCTGTCAGAAAACACGTGCTTTGCGCATGACAATTGTTAGTACAAGTATGTTGTAATGCGCGGGGGGGGGGGGGCGGTACATTCAAATAGTACGAATATTAACCCTCGCACGACCAGGCCATTTCTCATAACACGAACGACCAGGGGGGGGGGGGGGGGGGGTTGTTACGACCCCCCCTGGCGTTTCGAAACGGAAGGTCGTAGAGCTTAGCGGAAAAAACCAACGGATTGCTCTCAACGAGATCTCGCGATTGGTGGTATATTTTTTGGTCCTAGGTCAACATTTGACCTACTTATGACCGGTCAAAGGTCAAATTTTCGGAAAAATCTAACTTTTTCAGATTTCCGCGCCGATTGCGGCAAAACGGTAAGAGATATCGACTTGAAACCTTCACTATCGTGATCCTTGATCAATTCTCTATCGTTTGGTGCGTATTTCGATGTCATAACTCTAAAAATGATGCGTTGGGAGCATCGGAAGTCTGCAAGGTCATTTGTGCATTGGGTCACGTCAGGCGTGTGACGTCACTGACCTGACCCTGACCCAAAATGAACTACAAGAAACAACCGACGATGCCTGAAATGGATAGCAAATTCGAATTCAGGGTATCAAAATACCCCGAAAAGGCATACAAGTGCAAGAAGTCATTACAGGTCAACCGAGGTCACTGACCTGACCTTGACCTTTAGTAACCTTGAAAAGGTCAACGGACATTGTGCCAATGTCAAATCAGCCAGTTATGGTTCTAAAACAATCCATCAGTGTGTCAGGTCAGTCGGCATTTATACCAATGTGAAGCAATCTCCAATTTAGCGTAAATCTGGCCGGAGGTTGTTCCCTTTATGACGTCATAACTCCGTGACCTGACATGACCCGATCAATTTTTTTTCGGCAAAAGATGCGCAAAGGTTGCCCCAGAGGGTATTGAAAATTTCAGCCCGCTACGACAAGCCGTTTAGCGTGCACTTCGAAAAAACCTCAGGGGGGGTTGATACAACCCCCCCTAGGCGTTCTAGGGTTAAAGGTCATAACTAATTAATCCGTTTCGAACAAGTGGCGGAGCACACATCAGTGCAGTTCAGTGCGTAGCCATGGATGTCCGCCAGGAACAGGAACCAAAGAATGAATACAACTTGATTGGCATGTTATGCATATAACTTTAGATAACCCATTCATCTTCTAAATGACAAACAAAAAATAGAGCGGCTATAGTGTACACTGCACAGTTTGCACAGCATGTTGTGGTTCAGTGTCTGATATGGAAAAAAGGTGGTCTCCCTTCTGTCTTCAATTGCGTGTGCTTACCGAACACCTCTAGGTCCGAGCCGTCCCGCGACTCGCCGCTCGAAACCGGCCTCGGGTTGGGGCGCCGATCGGATGCCGGATTCTCCCCAGCGCGACCGCGGCGGGCGTCTCGCACACGTGACCGATTGCGTCCTAGGAGAGGATTTCTCAGAAAACACGTGCTTTGCGCATGAGAATTGTTAGTACAAGTATGTTGCAATGCGCGGGGGGGGGGGGGGGTGGTACATTCAAATAGTACGAATATTACAGGTCATAACTAATTAATCCGTTTTGAACAAGAGGCGGAGCACACATCAGTGCAGTTCAGTGCGTAGTCATGGATGTCCGCCAGGAACAGGAACCAAAGAATGAATACAACTTGTTTGGCATGTTACCTATGCATATAACTTTAGATAACCCATTCATCTTGTAAATGACAAACAAAAAAATAGAGCGGCTATAGTGTACACTGCACAGTTTGCACAGCATGTTGTGGTTCAGTGTCTGGTGTGGAAAAAGGTGGTCTCCCTTCTGTCTTCAATTGCGTGTGCTTACCGAACACCTCTAGGTCCGTGCCGTCCCGCGACTCGCCGCTCGAAACCGGCCTCGGGTTGGGGCGCCGATCAGATGCCGGATTCTCCCCAGCGCGACCGCGGCGGGCGTCTCCCACAGGTGACCGATCGCGTCCTAGGAGAGGATTTCTGTCAGAAAACACGTGCTTTGCGCATGAGATTTGCTAGAACAAGTATGTTGCAATGCGCGGGGGGCGGTACATTCAAATAGTACGAATATTAACCCTCGCCGGCCGAGGGGGGGGGGGCGGCACCCGCCCCCCATAGGGTTTTTCGCGATAGCTCCGAGCACGCTGGCGATAGAAAGCTGAAACTTGGCATACCTGACCTTTGATCCAAGCCGCATCTTTTGACACCAACCGCATTTTTGGGTCAGGTCAGGTCACTGACCTATGACGTCATAAGTGAACCTCTGCACGGTCTTCAGATGTCGCAACTTCGCAACGCCCTCACTGCCAGAGGTGATGTCACAGGGAAATGAAACTTGCAGGATCTAGTATCCATTATGAGTGTCACAACTTGTATATCTCGGATTTTTCCTAAAGGTCATATGAGGTCAGGTCATTTTCGTGACCTCACCATTATAAGTCAATGGGGAAAAATAAAAACTGCTATTCTGGCGCCGGGAACGACCCCCAACTATCTCAAGCACACAGAATCGTGATTTGATGCACTCCTTGCAAGGTTAGATGCGTCACTTTTGCAATGTTGACCTTGCGTGACGTCATTTATGACGTCATCAAGGTCATATTAGTTTTTCGTCAATAACTCCCGATCAAATTGAGCTAGCGAGTCGAGAAAGCCACCAATGGACTCAGGAAGACCTGCCGAATCGAATGATATGCGTCATGACCTCTTTCGACCAACTTCGTGACCTGGGGGTGCTGACCTGACCTTGACCTGAGGTCAACACCCTAAGTTGACCTGACCCGAACAAAAAGTATATCATTCGACGCGCCTGAGCGAGGCGAACACGATGCTGTCAAAATCGCGGCTCTGCGGCCGTTTTTTGCGAAGTTATTCA